ACTCAACCCTGCCCTTGCAGCGCGAGACAGAGCCACAGACACACGTGAACAAATGGGCATGGCTGTGTGCCAAGAAAACCTGATTTATAAAAACGGGCTGCAGGCTGGATTTGGTTGTGGGCTGTAGTTTGCAACCAGTGCCCTACCTGGATTGGGAGCCCAGATCCAATAAAGGGGGACAATCCGGGATTTAGGAACTGCTGGGGCTATAGGGAGTGGTGAAATAGGGTTGTCTGTTCTGCAGTGTGCAGAGCTGTGTGCCCTCAGGCAAGCCACCAGACCTCTCTGGGTCTCAGTTTGCACCTCAGGAAAATGGGAACAGCACCTCTCTCCAGGGAGTTGTGAGGCTAAAATGAAACCCCTGGGCATTGCTCTCTGCACACAGTAGGTCCTCAAGAAAGCTCTCTCCTTATCTTTCTTTCTCTTTCATCTGACTCAACCTTCAGTAAGAAGTCACATGACTGCCTCTTTTCAGACCAGTGGTGTTCCGGCTCAGGGTTGGGAATATCTGGCTTCAGAGCAACAGGGCTCCAGTGCCGGCTGCCCGCCTAACTAACCGTGGGCCTGGGGCCCGGGTTCCCTCCTTGCGGGTGACAGTGAGGAGGAACTGACACGCACACAGTGCCCAGCACATGCTAGGTGCTCCGTCAGAGTGGGCCACGTGACGGTTAGGGTCTCAGCTATGTCTCTGTAACCACCCTGCACACAGTGTGCACCCACCCTGTGCTAGATGCAGGGCCTGGGCAGGGGATGTGGAGAGGGCCTTGTCCCCTGGAGGGTACAGCCTCGCAGGGAGAAGAGAAATTCACCCATCGCCTACGTGACACAGACTGGCAGGAAGACGGGGCGTGGGGACCACAGGTGAGGGAGCTGGGGACAAGGGGGGCGGGGACAGTTGACCTCTGAGACTGTGGCTGAGACCCGGAGGCAAAGGGCTGGGGATCCGGCTGATGGGACGCAGGCCCGGCCCTGGCCCCTGCCCGGCCGGAGGGCGGCTGTGTGCTGGAGGCCAGCGAGGACGGGACAGGCGCCCGTCTGTGCTGGAGAGAGATCTCCCGCCCCGGCCGGCCTGGCTCGGGTGGGGACGGCGCGGCTGCGTCACTTGCCATGCCAGTCATGTCTGCGCTCCCAGCTCCGGAGGTGAGAGGTGCAGCCGCTAACCACAGCCCATCAGTCCTCGCAGCTGGAATAAGACAACGCCGGGAAGCGGAGCCGCGCTCCCGGCCAAATAAAAGCCTGTTTGCCCGGGCCTCCCCGGCTGTGCGCACTCGAAAACAGAGGCTTCTGCGGCCAGAGTGCTGCCGGCCCATTATATTCTCGCGCAGGAACCACAGCCTGCAGAGCCCTGAAAGCTTCTCGGTGCCGCGACCCCGCTGCTGTGTAACACGCTCGGGAAGAAAGGGACACAGCCAGAGGCCGCCGTTCCTCCCTCTCCCCTCCTTGCTCTCTCCACCCTCCCACAAGCCAGGCACTGAAGAATAGCCCTTCTCCTACCAGGGGCCCGGAGCTGGAGATGAGAACGGATTGTGGGCGGGCGGGGCGGCAGGAAGACGGGAGGGGAGGGCGGCTCTGCGGAGACGGCCCGCCGGCCTGCATTCCTTTTCGAAAGCACCTCCGCCTGGTGTCAAGGTCTCTGTCTACTCGGCAACTTTTCAAATGACTTTCAAAGACCTGCTCTATGCTGTTCAATTTGATGGGTATTTCATAAGCATCAACTGGTAAGGGAAAATATAATACCCTGCCATCGCACAGGGGCAGGGGATGAGACGCTTCCACTGGGGCGGGGAGGGCTGGGGGGTTAAAACAGGCTTCTTTTGGCTCCAGGAAGGGAGCCTGGATAAGCAGCGAGCACCAGACCGGCTCTGAGCACGTTCAGTCCCCACAACTGTGTCGGAGGCAGGACGACGTTACCCATGCAGTCTCACCAGTGAGGAGTCCTCCTCCTCCTCCCTCTCCTCCTCCCCATCGCCACTGCGTACTAACAAGCAACCACCACGTGCCAGGCACGGGCACGCACTCGAGACACGCGAGATCAGGTGGTGTCTAAAGTCAGATGCAAACACACTATCTTGAGTACTGCCCATGTGTTGGGCATATTCATTCTCATTCTCTCTCCCTCTCCCTTTCCCTCTCTCTCACACACACACACACACACACACACACTCGTTACTGTCCAGGCTTATAAAAACCAGGGCTCTTCCTTACGTCTCATTCCTCTGCCCCGAGAGCATCCTCCCTTCATCTGGCTTGACTGGAATGTAAGGAAAACAGGGAGCGTTCTTGGCAGCCCAGAGAAAGAAGAATTCGAGCCCCGACGGGAAGGGGGGATAAAGAATCATATCTGCTGCATGCTCACTATCCCCCAGAAGTGTTACAGGCACCATCTCCTTTAAGCCCCACGTTCCCCTCACGAGGCAGGCACCCCAGTCCACTGCACACATGACAAGGCTGCAGCTGAGCGACTTGCCCAAGGTCACAGAATGGGCATGGGGACACACAGTGGCGCACACCGGCCCATATGAAGGCCCGGGGCAGCAGGATGCTAAAAGCCTAGGTCTGACTCCTGACTCGCCCCCGCGTGGCTGGGTGCCGTTGCGCAAGTTATCTGCCCTCTCTGTGCCCGTTTTCTCATCTGTGAAACCGAGGATAACGACAGTATTGACCTCCTAGGATTCTGCAGGACTAATACCTGTGAAAGCCCATTGACAGTACCTGGCACGGAGTAAGGCTTAGCAGATGAAGGTTGTTACAGTAATAATAATCGTAATTAGTATTATCTTGCCTGAACTGCACATCGAGCTGTCCCCCTTGACCTAGGCTCGTCAGGGACCCTCGGGCGGGGAGAGAGGCTGGTCACAGGGGCTGGTCACTCTCGGCCCACCAGCATCCTGTCTTCGCGGTCGCCTGCAGCCTAGCGGCTGGTCTGCTGGAGAAGCTGAGCCCCAGGGCAGGGGCACACTCGGGGGGACTGCTGCTGATTGCAGCGCTCACAGCGAGGGCTCTGGTTGGGGCCACAGCTCTGCTCTATCTGCTCCGGCCACCTCCCACTGTCCCCAAGGGCAGCTCAGAGGCCACGGCGTCACCAGCAAGCTTCCTGCTGGGCCCTGCCGAATGGCTGGGAAGCCTGCCTTTCATTCCGAGGCCCACGTTCCACAGGGAGCCCTGTGTCGTGGCCTTGGCGCTCAGACAAATGGGGCTCGGGGCCCCCACCTGAGATCTGAGTGCCTTCCTGGCAGAGATCAGGGCAGGGCGAGGGGACTGGGCACAGATCCCACCTGCCCTCGGAGTCTGCCAGGGCCCTGGAAGCTCTGAACAATGCGGATTTCAACACAAATGAGCTGGGTATTTTTCGCCACAGGGAAGGGGCAGAGCAGGGCAAAGGGTCCAGCCAGGAGAGCCGGAGGCCAGCAGCCCTGTGCTGAACATTTGAGGCCACCGTGGGCACCTCCTGCTCCCGAAGAGATCAACCAGACAATGGGGTGGGGGGAGAGGAGGACTTGCATTTCCAGAGCAGCCGTTCTGTGCTGACTCGTCCATCCCCTCCCTCACCTCTGCGCCTCAGTCTCCTCATCTGTGAATGGGAACAACAGAACATGCACGCCACAGGGCCTTCTATGAGGACATGCTGCATCAACTCTAAAGGGCCATGTGGTATTTTTCGCTATGACTTATTATCCACTCCCTCCATTTCTGGAAGGGACCTCGTGGATTCTAGGTTCAGGGTCTAGAGGAGTCAGGACGAAGGAAGCCTTGCAGTAAACACTCACACACACACCCCAGATCTAATGGAGCCCCAGACTTTGTCACAACGGCCTTTGCTCGTTTAACCCAGTGCACGGGGGTGGGGGGAGGCTGTCGAGTCTCAGCTCGGCCCCTTTCGAAAGCTGAGTGACCCTGGGCACACACACCGCTTAACCTCTCCAGGCCTCAGTTTCTTTGTCTGTAAGATGGGGGCAGCAGTGCCCACAGCTGCTGGGCTGCCGTGAGGATCAACGAGACATGCGTGTCCCATCCTGAGGACAGCCCTGGCACACAGGAAGTCGTGAAGAAACAGCAGTTGTCACGGGGCACCTCAGTGCCTGGTTGGTCTCAATTCTCTCACCTGCAATATGGGGCTAATCCTGCCCACCTCACAGGGCCGTGGGGGAATTAATGGGAAGACATACGCAAATAACCCATTCACTACTGGCTTATTTATCTACCAAATAACCCATTTACTATTATTATTCTACCGGCCCCTGGCTGGGCCTCGGCCTGCAGCTGATGGCGGAGACAGCCGGTCCCACAGAAATGCTCTGGCTGAGCCTTCGCTGGAGTGGGGCAATACTTCTGTCTCTGGAACTCAATTTATTGAAGGGCTTCTCTCCCTCGCAGACAGAACTGCCGAGCCGGCATCCTCCGCTGGCCCCGGGGGGGTGGGGGTCCGGGAGAGGCCCTTACATAAACATTTGCCGACAGGTGCATCTGGGCCTGTCAATGGCTGTCGATAAGGACAGGTTCTCTTTCTGCACGTCAGGATTTGGGGACTTACTGAGTTGTGAGCTTGTGACTGTGTACTGGGCCCTGGTTTCTCCGATTTCTCACTCGCCTCGGCTCGTCTATTCCCCAGCCTTGGACTGAGGGCCCGGCCTGTGCCAGACACGGGGGCCCAGGGATGAACTGACCAGTGACAGAGATGAGCACAATGACACAGTCTCCATGCTGGGAGAGCCACCAGGGAGGGAGGCGGGGGCTAAACACCCCGACCCCACTCTCCTCCTCCCCGACTTCCTGCCAGGTCTCCCAATGACCTGCCTTGACCGGAGGCCGAGAGGGCATGGAAGCCACCGATGCCGTCCATGCAGGTCAGCCTCCCAGCACGGAGCAGGGGGAGCAGGATGGAGAGTAGATCTGGAGGGGCAGACTGGGGGCGCTCAGCACAGGCAGGGAGGGGGGCCTAGTGCCCTGGGCCCCTGCGGCCCGTCTAGGCAGGACAGTTCTGGAAGCCCCAGCACTCTTACCGTGGAAGTGCTCTGCCGTCTTCCGCCGCAGGGCCTGCAGGCTCACCTCCGAGTCGGCCCACTCCAGGACCAGCCTCCGGCCGTACAAGTGGGTGCTGTGACACAGGGCGTTGAAGGCTCTCTGGGGAGAGGGCACAGGAGACGAAATAGCGCATTAGCCAGGACCTCACCGCAGACTCTCCCTTCTGCCCTCCCCCTGCCTGCCGGCCTCGCAAAGCTGGAGGCCAGGTCGTGGCCCTGGTGACACCCGATCTCTGGCGAGGGCGTGGGAGCCGTTGGGCACATCTATTCAATTAGTGGGTTACGTTCCCAGGGACAGAGCTGCAAGTGACGGTGCGGTCAATATATCCGCCGTCGGGGCCAGTAATTGGGGCCTGGGCCAGGCGGCCGTCTTCTGGCCCACATTCCATCCTGTCTGCGGGGGGCGACCCCATTAGCCAGCTCGCCTCCCACCCGGCTGTCAGGGGCAGCGCCACGTCAGAAGGCCGAGCCCTGTCTAGCCACTCGATGACACCCACGCAGGCCCCTCATTCTCACTTGGTGGCACTGTCCTTCGCTGGCCCTGGGGATCTGTCCTCCACCTCTCCCTGCCGCCCTCGGCCAGATCACCCTCTGCCTCCTCACCAGCCCCTGCCCTTTCGGCCACCGGCTTCCACCCCGGCCCAGCGGCCTGGGTCCTGCCATGTGCTCTCCCCTCTGGCTCTTCGCTGTCCCCGACCTCGGCACTCTGCCTACTTCCCTCTTTTTGATTTTTGCTCTCCAACAGCTCGATTGAGCTACAATTCACGTACCATACACGCCATCTATACGATGCGCACAATCCAGTGGGTTTTAGGATATTCAGACTGGTGTAACCATCACCATATCAATTTTAGAACATTTTCACCATCACCACCCCAAAAGAAACTCTGTTCTCATTAGCAGTCACTCCCTACCCCCCAGCCCCCAGCCAGCACTGATCTGCCTCCTGTCTCTGTGGATGTGCCTGTTCTGGACGCTTCGTATAACTGGAATCCTGCTGTATGGGCGAGCTCCCTCTTCAACATCGCTAGGTCTCAAGCTAGACAGCACTGCGCGGGGGCCCCTCCTGCAACACTCTGTGCCGCAGAGGCCACGGCCAGGAGCTGGACTGCGGACTCACCCTGCCTGGGCAGGGCGGGCTCTGAACTTCCCAGCTCCAAGACCTTGGGCCAGCGAAACGCATCTCCCCGGCCTCAGTTTCCTCACCTATCAAACAGGAATGTTATTGGTACTCCAATCCAATGGTTCTCGAGAAGATGAGAAAGAGTTAACAGGGAAAGGGCCTAGAACAGTGTAGGGGCACACAGTGGGCACTCAGTAGATGCGGGTTCTCGTTGTTGCTGTTGTTGTGTTGGTACCACGGACTTATCACATTTCAATTCCTTTCTCTCAGCAGGGAGGCCTCATGTCAGCACTACGTGTGAGGAGGGCTGGCTCCCGATGCCCGTCAGCACCAGAGAGCTTCTGGGCTCTGGCACGAGAAGGGGAGCTTTGGGGTTTGTTCCTCCTGATTCTTTGATGCCCCAAGGAGGCAGCGGATAACCAGGAGGGTTTCGGACTGCAAGCAACCCAACCCTGGCCCTCAACTGCAGGTGAGTGTCAGAGGTTGGACTGTGTCCCCCAAAAGAAGACATGCTGAGATCCTAACCCCTGGTACCTCAGGACGTGGCCTTATTTGGAAACAGCGTCTTTGCAGATGTGCTCAGTTAAATTCAGGCGAGGACACACTGGAGGGGAGTGGGCCCTAATCCAGTGTGGCTGTGTCCTTACGAGAGATGGCCACGTGAAGACACAGAGACAAGGCGAATGCCGCGTGAGGATGGAGGCAGAGACTGTAGTGACGTCTACAAGCCAAGGAATGCCTAGGAATGCCTGCTGTCACCAGAGGCGAGGAGGAGGCAGGGAACAGATTTTCCCTCAGAAGGAACCAACACTGCTGACACCTTGATCTTGAACTTCCGTGGGTAAGCCACCTGCCCCACTATGAGCCTCGGTTTCCTCATCTGTAAAATGGGGCTAATTGTGGGACTTACACGTGAGCCCCGTGGGTGGCCCAAAGTAGATATTCCATAAACAACTGCATCTGAAGAACACCGATGGGAGGTGGGCGGGACACGCATCTTTTAAGAACTAGACAGGTGGCCAAATTAAAGAAACGCTTTGCTCTCTTCTGTGCTTTTCTGAGAAGGGCCAGGTGCAGGAAACTTTTTCTCTCCCTTTTTTTTAACTTTAATTTAAAAAACTCTTTCTGACTGCCAGCAGAGCCTCTGCATTTTTTTCCGTGTGGATATAAAAATGCATCTGGACTCAGAGCTGAAATGGCCCATTCAGAGCTTTAAAACACACGCGTTCTCAGCTGGTGAGGCAGAGAAACAGCCTGACTGGGGGAGCCGGGGTTTGAAGATGGGGGAGAGGAACTGGTGGGGAGTCTGGTGTGGCGGGTTTCCATCCTGGTGCCAGGGTCCCCGAGGAGCTGCGGTCCCGGGGGGGCGGCCAAGGGGCTGCACGTGGTGGAAGCTAAGCCGACGTCAGAAGAGGGGCTAACAGAGCCCGGGAGGGGGCCAGGCGAGACGCCCCAACCCCAGCCTTGCTCTCCGACTCCAGCTGTCAGATCTGTTTCTTTCTTACCCCTGGAAACCCGTCCTTCATTCCTGTGCCACCCAAGCCTGACTAGGTCTCCATTCATCGCAGGAGTCGCTGAAAATTCCCTCTCTTGGCCTCCCTCTGACATCGACCCTTGCAAATTCTCATCTCCTCCTCTTTGGAAGGGCTCTTTACGTCATGAGGAGAGGTGGCACAGCAGTTAAGACCGGGTGCTCTGGACCTGAGCTACTTTGGTTCAAATCCCTGCTCCACCACTTACAAGCTGTGTGATCTTGGGCAAGCTGCTTAACCTCTCTGAGCCTCAGTTTCCTCATGTGTAAAAGAGAGGCGGCAGCAGAGAATGGATGGGAGGATTCAATGAACTATTAAGTCTAACACTCACCACGCTGCCTGGCACATAAGAAGTCTCACTCAATGCTGGCTGTTAGTATGTGTGCCCGCGACTCCCCATTATCACGCTAAAGAGTAGGAACAATGGTAGGCAGGATACAAGAGCTCGTTTGTATGTGCAGTGAGAGCACAGTATGTGGTTCTCCAAAAATAGTTCTAACCCCGAAGGTTAATAAGCAATCAGGGTGCGTTCCAGAGCGCCCACTGCCCGGTGGTTGGGATGTGGTGGCCTCAAACTGTCGCAGGTGTGAGGACAGAGATTCGAGGCTAAACCTGGCCCTGGATAAGCCGGAGGAACTGCATTTCATGAACAGGGCCTAACGAGATCCTGCCACACTGAGGCATCCCAGGAGGTGGGGGTGGGTGAGGAGGAGGACAGAGCCCGGGCCTCGAGGGGCTCTAGGACTGGTGTAGGGGAAGACGCTGAGGTGCGTGGAAGGTTCCAGGCACAGCAGAGGGGAACCTGCAGCCCTGGCCCCTCTGGCCTGCGGTTCGCCAGCAGCATCTCCCTGGTCTCGGAGCTACACTTGACTCCACTGAAGCCTGCGCCACCTCCTCCCCAGAGAAGCATCCTCTGCCCAAGAGCCCTTGGGCCCTGTTCATCTCGGGTGCTGGGGCTCAGCGCAGGGCTGGTGTCTTGACTGAGGGAGTGGACAGTTAGACGTTCCTGGCCCTCAGCTTCTCTCCAAGTCCCGCTTCTGCTGCCTGTTTGCCCCCTGGAATCAAAGGCCTTCTCCTTCACGGATTATGGGTTGCCTGGATCCCACAGGACCCCAAGCACGCGACCTCTCCCTAACTCATGAGAACAGACACTATTCTCCCGGTTCAACCAAGGGAAAACTGAGGCACTGGCCAAGGTTTGTGGGCAGGCCGCCTCCTTTTCCTTGCAGGCTCTATACGTCCCATCTCTGGGCCTTCATAACACATGCCCCAGCTGGGAAGGGCTCCCTCGTCACAGCCGCCTTGCTGGTGTCCAGGACAGGCCGTGCCCTCCTCGCACGGGCTGCAGCCAGGGGGCTGCCCTGTGCCCGGTATACTGGCCCCCATCCCAGCACCTGCCCCTAATGCCTGCCTGAGTGCCGGCCTCCCCGGCTCGACCTTTACCCTCGGAGGGAAGGCCGCTGTCCCTGCTACTGTTAGCACAGTGCTCGGGCCAGTGTGCTCAGTGAATATTCTAGAGCAAACTGCAGAGTCTCCTTCACTGGGTCTCGAAAACACATCTCCAGCCTGGGAGGGACAGTTCGGCTGGTCCTGGCTGGAGATGGACAGCTGGCTTAGATGTCCTGCTACGGTTCCCTCACACCCTGCCAGTCAGACCACGGAGACAGTGGGGCGAGGAGCACGTCTCGTCCTCGACTGTGCACATGAGTGGGATGCTCTGCCTTTGGGCAGGACAAGACACGATACACACAGCCTTGGGTCTAGCTGACGGAGAGAGAGGAGAGACCCTGCTCCCAACATGTGTGACTCTGGGACCCTCGCAGGATGGGAATGGGCACCCGTGCCACCAGGACCCGGTAGGCCACCCAGTCGCCTAGTCGTGTCGCTGCAGAAGCCTGAAGATCCAGAATAGACGGCCAAGGGTGCATTTGTTTGGCCAAGAGGGGAATGCGCAGAGGAGACCCCTGCTCTCTGGCGCCACTTCCCGCCATGGCCTGATGGGCGGGGCTGGTTACTCCTGCTCCTCTCCCTGCCCCATTCTCTGTGCTGCCCGCCATGGCCCAGATAATGGAGGCGCCCTCGCCCTCCTTACTATTTAGGTTAAGCAAATGGGGGGCGCCCGGTGGGGTCTGGAGGGGAGGTGGTTTCTTCCCCTGCTCCCTCCCCCCAGGACCACAGCTTCTGCCAGCAGCCCCTCCTGGACAGCACGACTCTCACCTTTCCCTCCAAGTGTCCCTTTCGCCTAAGGGTGGGAAGAGCTCCCACTGTCCCTGGTCTCTGGGGGCTTCACCATCCCTGGCGAGTCCCTGAGCCCTACCTACCCCTCCATAGATATCTCCTCATTTGAACCATCTGGGGGTGGATTCTGTTTCCTGACCCAGATGGCTGCCTGATGTCCCCGTGCCTTGACCCGGGACAGATGGACTTCCGCTTCAGAGAGCAGGT